GACCAGGCTCACACCTGCCTAGCTTCAGTGATTTTCCAGATGGCTGCTGGCTATTGTAGAGGTGTTCAACTCCAGTCCTCAAGGGCTCCTGTCCAGCAGATTTTATAGCTCTCTTCAATAAAATCTCCTTCTTCTTAAGAATGAGGAAAAGCTTCAGCTTCTATACAGCAAGGAAATAAGTTCACTTAGGTCATTAAGGGCTCAGGTGAAAAGAAAACCAGAAACATTCTGTGCACCTGTTATGCTGACATATTTTATGTTATTGTAAGCTGACATATTATAATTACTTAATTATTTTGTTTTGTATTTATTTTATTTCCTGAGTTTTAGTGCTGTTCGTATGAGCAATGTTGGATAAAACCGTATTTATTACAATAGAACAGTATGTGGTGGTCATTTACAATCCATGCATTCAGGGGACTATCACTTTTTAAACCCTTTAATATCCATTCAAGCAGGCATGGTTAGCCATACTGCACCTCACTAATTGCTAAATAATATCAATATATGTTTGCTTTGTTTTAAACAATGATCTGCTACAAATTGTCCAAATTTCATTACAAATTACAATTGCATGATCTATATATTTAATTCAGGGATCAGCAACCTTGTTGCTGAAAAATTTTGTAGTTTTGCAGATCACTCCTGAATCACTAGTTTCTAAAGATGAGGAACAGTTCCACAGTAGAAGTCCCATCTAAAATGCACTGTAATTTGTATTACAGATATCAAAAGCTATCTGCTTCCTAATTTACACATAATTCCACAATCATATAGTGTGTTTTCCTTGTTAGAATTTGTATTAGCCAGAAAAGTGTGAAGGAGAGGTGGCTTACTTTAATAAATCCACTCATTCCAGTAATGCATTCATGACTTTAGAGTTATCAAGCCTGTCTTGTTTAATCTAAAGCATGTGAATTATTAATATCCTAACTCTGCCATGATCTCAGACAGGAAGTTTAATATCCTAGCAAATTCAACCTCTAAATAATTTTGTAAAAATAAATATAATAAACTGTGTCCGTCTGGGGAGTCTTTGCCGGGCAGTTTATTCTAATTCCTCTTTCTATAAAAATGAACGAAATTCCATGGAAACACATTGCAGTAGTTGCAGCTTCTTTGCTGTTTTGACCACTAGAAAGTCTTTAAAATAAGAAATTTGAAATATTTTTTTTCTTATAGACTACACGTAGTCAAGTACTTCAACCCAGACTTTTGCTATGGCATGCACCATGTTCAAGAACTTTCAAAATTACTATATAGTGGGTTTGCTTTTAGCATTGGTTGCATCAATACGTTTTGCTAATATTTTTCTGAGGTAATACACCTTGAATATTACTACAGTATTAGCCATGACAATGGCTGAAGAATCAGTGCCATGCTGTCTGGAAAAACCTTTTTTTTTATAATGTCTGCAATACATTAGGATGTCCAAAAGCATTATCTAACACAAGCAAACTCTTTAATTCCTTGTGGCGTACTTTTAGGTCACAGGGCAGTCAATCAGTGAACCATTCAATGAATATTAGACAAAGGCTCTGGAGTGGTTCACATAGTCAGATGGGTCATAGACATTTTTGTCTTTTCATCCTTCTTGCTGTTCATCCTGCCTGATTCTCTGATTTCACCATGGTCTGCTGTTGCACACGTCTGCTCCAGAGAGTCTTGGCAGAGAATGTCAGTTGTCTCTGCTCTGTGCTGTTGGATCCTGATATTGCTGCTGTTTGTGAGTTTGGTTCATCATTCATCTCTCTCATATCTCATTTTTGTGGTGCTTCTTGGAGTTCATTGTCTGCCTGCATGCTGTGAAGTGGCCTATCCAGCACCTGAATCATCGTTAAATGGGACAGTCACGGTAGGATATTTTTTTCTGGTACTATAATTTGCTGGCTTAGTTCACTGTTTGTCTCCCTGCTTTTGTGCCACATACTGTACTAAAATAATGTTGTATTTTTGGAATTTGGCAAAGACAGCCATGTTAGCACAGGGTCTCTGGGTGCAGTTTCTTCACCTGACGTTTGGCACAGAGACACGCTGGGGGTCAGTTAGTTACTGTATATCTTCAGGAGTGATGGCAGGAACCGTGGGGTTTCCAAGGTGATGAAGGGACACTAAACTTTGTGTGTTTGCACCAAAACTGACTTACAGCCACAAAAAATTGTAATGTGCTCTTTTTTACCAGTTTGGTTTAGGAATAGCCCTTCCTGTACATTTAAAGAGGCATTAAAATGTCCTTCCTCATAAACCACGATATTGACCTCAATCACACAGCTTCAATACTTCTAACTGTAATATGAGTGGTGTCTTGTCCAATCAAAATTCACTGGTTTTATCACCATTATTAATCAAGGTTGTGTCTACTATCTCATCAACACTATCCATGTGCTCTCTAAACATAAGCTCTCTTTGGTTAGGATCTCTGCTAGATAAGCTCTCTTTATTACCTGATTGTTAAATAACATGACTTTGATTCTCAGTTTATGACCAGAAAGTGGATTACATTTGTCTAAAACATGCTACCTACCAGATGACACAAAAGGATCTCTGTTTTTGCTAAAAGTTCTGATTTACCATTCACCTAAATGCTAAACTAGGTTTCATAGCTACAAACGTGGCTATGACTAACCTATGCAAGTATTTTACTTCTTGAAGATTTCTGTATACAGTACATATGGATTGCCTTACCCATTTGGCTACTGCCAATTTCTTAGGTACTTTGGATTGTTTCAGCATTACGCAGCATGTGGATTTCCCAACAGGTAACACATGTTGCCATCTTTTATTTTGGGTTTTACTGCAATGCTGGTGACAGTTTTGTGCAGGATCAAATCTGATACTAATACTCTGATTTCTGCATTTTAAAGGTTTCTGTCTGATATTATGTGGATACAGCAGAGGTTTCTGGTTAAATTTTAACAAAACTGAGGTTATGCTCACAGTCTCCCAACATCAGGTTTGCAAGCATGGTGATTTTTGTATTTTTAGATGCTGGAAAAAACTCTTGATGGAGGTTAAAAGATGTGGTGTTACTTCTGACTTTGTGTTGTCATTTGAAGCATTTCTTGGGAATGTCACAAGTACACATGCATAAAATCACTCTAAATGTCGGTTGCTAAAATATTTATATATGAGTTTACATACTCACAGGCTACTGTAATGCTTTTATTAAACTCCATGGTGCATGCACTAATGAAAGGTACTGTATTCACCAAATTTGTCTTCTGTAAATTACCTTGGTTCCCTGTGAAATTTAAAGTGGACTCAAAGATTCTCTGCCCTTCATTTAAGACACTCATTAAATAATTGCCTAGTCTAGCTCCGGATTGTCCCAAAGTCTTATTGATATTTGAGACTATTTTTTAAATAAAAGACTATTTATAAATATATAACTTTCAATGCGCAGTTTATTCTGAATTATTGCTTTTACAAAGTCCCTTTGATGTACTGATTTGTGTGCTATCATCTAGCTCTGTAAGCTTCCTGAAAAGTACTCATAAATAAAATTTGATTGTGATTGCTCTTGTTGTAGACTTTCTGAACATGTTTTACACAATGAATACTGTACAAATACAAACTTAGCACAAGACCAGTCTTTTGTCAGTGAGCTCTGTGAAGGTCCCTCCTTTTTGGTAAATAACAGGCTACTGAATCATACGTTCATCCATAGAAATTAACATTTGCATGTATTTAGACTGCTAGGTAATTTAGTAAAGAAATGTGGGTGAAGGATACTACAGTAGTATCTCACCTGGGATATGAACTCACAACTTTTCAGTTACACGTCCAGAACCACATCTCCACGCTGCTGTTTACTGAAGCAAAGCTCAAGCACAAGATCCAAGCTTACTAACCTGCAGCCTTTAGGCTTTAGTGTTGTGCTTACTAAACAGAAAGATGGTACTTTCTGGTTTTGTATGAATTACAGTGATCTGACTGGGTCACTCATACCTGCTGCCAAGGCACTTTTTGGCTTAATTTCATCTTCATCTTTTTCAACTTTAAAGAGTGTATACTGACAAGTGAGTCTTGCATTGGAGGCCTACTCAAAAACGTCCTTCTCCATAGGATCAGCATTGTGGCTGGTCCAAATAATTCCTTACGGATTTTGTGACGTAGCAGCAATTTTCAAGAAACTTACAAATGTTTTGAATTCAGTATTATCGTCCGTATGCAGCTGTTCCTGGACAACCTTAAGGTGCAGTTAACTAATTTGGCCATGTCAGCCCATGCCTGGCAGTCTTATACAATAAAGTGGCGGGCCTCAAATTATACCTCAAGAAGAGTCACCTTCTTCAGCAAGAGATTACATTTCTAAGGCACATATTGTAGTAGAGACGAGGAAGAACCCCCCTCATGGTAGGGATGCGGTGCTGCACTGGAACAGATCTTTAGAACATGATTCACATAGTGCTCTGACAAGACTGGCTGGCTATGTACCAGGAGCAAGGACACTTGAGCTTCCCCAGCTGCAGTGGAAACATGAAGAAGTAACAGGCTTCAATACAAATAAAGCCATTTACCCTTAACACACATCCAATTAAAGGACAAATTAAGAACAGGCCTCAGACAGAAATAGAACTGGTACTGACCAAGACCAGTTCCAAAGGGACATATGTATATATAAAATTTAAGTATGAGGATTAGGATTAAGTGTGTATTTGGGGGTGGCACCTGCAGTGCCGAGGCTCTGGGTACAATTCTGGGGCTGGGGTGCTATCTGCGTGGCTTTTGTATGTTCTCCTTGGCCTCCAAGTGCTCTTATTTCTTCCCACAGTCCAAAGACATATTTGCAGCTTAACTGGCTTCTAGGACAATTGTCCCTGGTGTGAGTATGTCTATGTGTCTGCTCCGCTGTGGAATGACATTCAGTCCAGTGTGTCAGATGCAATTAGAAAATGGATTGATAGTGTGTACTTGGAAAACATGGCACAATTATTTACATATATCTTAGTATGTAATAGAAATTAACAAAGACTTTATAAAAAATGGAAATGACAACATTGCTTGTTTGTTATTTATTGTTTTAAATAAAACACTCGAACACTTTTTACTGCAACCAGTAAAATAGTAAAACACTGAAGTAACAACTGTGGTCCACTAGGTGGGAGTACAATCACATCTGAAATAGGTTCCAACAGCAAGAATAAGGAGCTTTAACTTCTTCCTCTAACAGGACACCATGTTTATAAATAATTTAAGTATTTACACATTGAGCAGTCACGCTTTTCACAAAACAGATAACGGATATCTATACGCCACATTAAAAAAATAGAAATAAAAATGCTGACAAAGTGAAACACAAGATGAAGGTTTACTTTCGCAGTAAATTGCACTGAAATCAGAGGACCTCTACTGCCAGCCATTTTCTGTTCAGCTCCCAGTGTTCCATTTAAGTAAAAAAAGTTGCACAGATTACTGTGCTTGTCACAGTATGGTAGCAGCGCTTTGGCTGTGGCAGTAGTACCAAGTATTTGCAAATAACCAATGTACAGTAGCAAGTGTCAAGGGATAATTGAGGGGGGATTGTGTTACATAGCGCGTTTCTGGTTTTGCCTTGTGGCATTTGATGTATATTTTAAATTTAAATGCTCCATTACCTGAAGCAGCAGGCCAAGAGGCTGAAAGCCGGACATTAATTGATAGATAAATCTAACATAATGCAATTTCACAGAATTCTACCTTCTCCCTGCCCAAGGCAAATGGATTTCAGTGTCAGCAAAGGTTTAAATAAAATTAGATTTTCATGGGTCTAAAACACATGGCGCATTCTAGTGAAGCATATTTTTTTTTGCAAGAGGGAAGTGTTCTTTTTTTCAACATTTCAATCACTCTACCACAAATATCAAGAAGAAATTGCAAAAATATATGCAGAATTCAGTCAAAGGTTTTAAAAAAGGCTGCCATTAACTTATTCAAAGAGCACATTTCACCAGACAGTTGCTTTATAATTTAAAACTTCTAAAAGGTTAAATAGCAAAGGCTTTGCAATAAAATACACGTCTTGCTGTGTGGTCTTTTCTTTTTCAAATGAAGAAGGATGATATTTTTACAGAATTAAGTGAAGATACCTTTTCAAAAATCTAAGTACGACTGTCATAGATTACTGAAACACAAATACATGGGAGAAAAAATTAGGCTGAAATGTATGGCATGATTGGATATCAAACAGATGGAGCAGAAAAGCAGAGCATAATTTTGTGTTTTTTGGAATACACTTAATAAATATTTAAAAAAAAACTCACCATAAAAACTACACAGTACAAATACCTGCTTGGTCATAGACAAAGATTATTTCTTTTAAAAAGTGCTTTGGTTATAAATGAAAAGAAAACAGAAAGCAGAGAACTGAGGTTTAAAAGCACTGCAGATACCAGTCAAAACAAGAAAGGAAAGTCACAAGGCTACTCTTGAATCAAAAGATAAATTTTCACATTATTCTACTGCCAAATTACCTGTACACTTCACACTCATTAATATGTCTACTGAGTCTGCTGGTGCAGATTGAGTGCTCTGGAGTGCAGTGTGTGTCTTTTTTTAAGCTCATTTCTGACAATGAGAAGTGGAGGACACATTGTGAAAGCACAAAATCTATACTGTAGAGTGTACTTGTTTTAACAAATACACAGGAGCAGTTCATATTAACTATCATTAACACATTCTCTCCTACTACTCTCCATTTTACAAATCCTCCATTACACAAATGTTAATGTAAGGAATGTGCAATTTAGAAGGATCCATGTAAAAGAAGACCTTTTCCCTCAAGCATGAAATCAACTAAGTAATTAACATTTTATTGATGAATGGCTCCTTTCCTTCTTAATTTGTTATTATCAGAATGCAGTTTTGCCAGTATGCTTATTGTCTAATAGAATGCTGAATCTTTAAGTTAAAAAGTGTAAAAACAATTTTCTGGCAAGAGAATGACTTCTCTGGCAACAAAGACATAAGAGTTCAAATATATATGTATTTAAGGAATGAATGAATATCAATTAATGACCTCAACTACACATTTTCTGTTATTCCTTACAATATCTGCCATTAAATCAAACAGGCAGGCAAGTATTTGTAGGAAATAACTTGGGCTTGTTTTCCAAAATAAGCATCAGAGGCATGAAATAAATTAAAGCTAGTATTGAACATGATTCAAGATTTGTATTCCTCAGCAGTGATTTGATATCCATGTAGAACGTCTGGACATCATACATAATATAATATGTACCTCTGTCCTTCAAACACCAATTGCTGCTAATACCTAAACTGCAGTGTAGCTGTTTCATTCCAACTCATACTAGGGATCTGAGCACAAAGACGAATAATCTTTGAATGACTTTGTACATCCCCTACAAATAAAAGGATCATATAAACCAGGACTTGGTAGAGAAGGCAATCACATGCTCAAGCCAGTTATGTAACATACTGTCCAGCACTGTAAGTGTGGGTGGTGAGCCACCCTCAGGGCCTTTCTTTCCCAATGTTTCCCACTGAGTTACACATTTTCCTGCCCCGCTGCCTGCCTTGCAGCTGTCCCTGGGCTGGTTGTGTATGTGGGGGGTGTTCACATCCTCAAGAGCAGGGTGCCACAGCTCCAGCTAAGTAGGCTTCTGCCAAAGAACATACTGTATGTAACACTTTGTGCACCAAACAAAGACTGAACAAAACAGGTTCAATGTTGCGTGTCTTCTAGGTTGCCACAAACATGTTTCACAATTGTCCTGCACTTGTCATTTTATAATCAGTCGATCTTGAAAAATCAACTGATTTTGTAAGGTCTTGGTTCACAGCAATGGCTCCTGTACTGGTCAGAGAGACTTAAGAAGGGCAGGCTCAGGTTTTATTAGACCCACCCACTTATTAGAGCGGTTCATCACTCCACACTACCTGAGGAGTTGGCAATGAATGGAGGAGCAGCACATCTCTTACTGACATTACTGGAAGTTGGAGAAATCGCTGTCTGCTAAAAAGCCGATAACCCTAACTCTATAATCTGAATTTTCGCCCTGGTAGTGCACTGACAAATTTGCACCATTGCTTATAGAATGTCCCTGCCACAGTTAACTAGTTAGTGAAACAAGGACAAACTCTCAATGTGTGGATCACAGAACTCAACTACGAGTTCTGAATGAGCTCCTTTACTGGCTGAGCCACTTGGGAGCCGCAGACATCTAACATAATACTTGATTCTGCAGACCTTTGCTTAGCAATCAAGACAGGATGCTGCACAAAATGAAATGGGTGGAACTACCAACAGAAGCATCATAATTATGTTTTTTCTATTTACCAGCTGTGGGGAAGTACTTTGATGGTATTTGCCTGTAGATTATTTCCTACACATTAATTTTTAATCTGTTTTGTGTACATTTACAAAATAATTCCAACCTATTTATACGTTTGATTCCATTATTCTAATACACAGAGGTTAATCACCATGAACATTCAATTATCATACTGAACGTTAAGCAAAATGAACATCGGATTAAAACCAAAGCTTCAAGCCCGAATTATGATGCTTATCCAGCTCCTCCGCTGTTCCCCAAAATATTATGCAATTTTAAGCGCTCCTAAATATTACGTAATTATGAGCTATCAGGCTGAAGGATGGTAGTAGTTACAGACAGCCCTACTTAAAGCATTACAAACTCACAAAGGCGCTGAATTAAAACAAAACAAAAAAAACTTCGGACCCCAAGTAAGTCAAAAAGTTGACAATCATAAAGAGACTCATCTCTAACTAGAGGGAACACTGTCAGCAAAATATAAAATAAAGTGCTTCGGTTAAAAAAGCCTCATTTTTGAGGTACCAAAATAAAAAAAAGAAAAACAACTACATCCAGCGTTCCTGAAAATAAAAATTTACACAATATGTACAATCAGGAGTGTTCTTTTTTTCTTTTAGGGTTCAATATCCCTTTATATACACAGTATATACATATATACCTTTTTTGTTTTTTTTGTTTTTTTTATGTTTCATCAATATATTATGACAATATATATTTAATTTTTTTTTGTTTAGTTCATGACCAAAAACGTGATCCTACAAAAACACAGCAAGGAGAAAGCAGATGAGGAGTGTCAGGTGGAGGAGAGGAGCATGAGGAGTCAAAGAGGGGCCGGCGTTGCCTTCCCTGGGGAAAATGTGCCAGCGCTCCTTCTGAGGGTGAAGCGCCTCGAGATCCCGGAGGGCGCTGTAGGCGGCCGAGGTGAAATTGGCGTCTCCCGTGGTGAGGAGATCAAAGACGCAGGAGTGGAAGTAGATGTCCTTCACCTCGAGTTGCTCCTGACACTTGGCTGTGGCGCTCTCCAGCGAGAAGCCTCCGCGTGGCTGTAGGGGGAGGCTGTGCTGCTGCAGCTGCTGCTGCTGTTGGTGGCTGGGCTGGTGCAGGCCCAGGACGGGCAGAGGGAGGTACCCACCCTCGTCGATGCGCTCTGCCGTGGGGCAGCCGTTCATGCAAAGCTGCAGGTCCTGGGTCTCGTCGTAGGCCAAAGCCAGCTCCTCGGGCATGCGCACAGCCAGGGTCAGGTATCGGCCCACTTGTCGAACAATGACAGAGGCCCCGATGTAGTTCGCCTCGATCTCCACGTGCCGCCCAGCGGCCTTCTCCACAATCCACAGACTCCTGGTGTCACTGTCACCCCCACTCATCGTGCCGTCCACAAAGGCAGAGGGAAGGTCATCTGTCACGGCCTGGTACACCTTCTGATCGGTGCAGTCTTGGTAAGGTTTGAAGATGATGGTTATCTGAAAACACAAAGAGAAGATCACTCTTTTTTTTTACGGCCCTCTAAGTTTACGTTTTTTAATTGGACTAGGGTGTTGTTTTCTAAGAGACAGTTAGGGTACGAGATGGTATTGGAACGGGGGAAGTACTAACAGGGCCCTGGCTCAATTCCAGACCCAGGGAGCTATCTGTGTGGGGTTTGTATGTTCTCCCCATGTTTGTGTGATTTTTCTCCAAGTGCCCTGGTTTCTTCTCACCGTCCAAAGTAATACTGGTATGTTAAATGGCTTCTAGGAAATTTGGCCCTAGGTGTGAGTGTGTGCGAGTCTGTGTGTGCCCTGCGATGGACTGATGTCTTGTTCATGTGTACCCCACACTGAGCCCATTACTTGCTAGGATGGGCTCTGGCTCCCCAGTGACCCTGAATTGGACATGGCAGTTAGAATGGAAGTATTATGATATGGAACGCCCTGACCTAGTATTTGTTCAGACTATTCCAATTGTTTTCAGACTATATTTTTTTATTACCAATTAATGAAAACAGTCAATTGTCCTGCGGGTTAAACCACCCATTTGGGATGACATTTTTGTAAAGCACGACATTCAAATAAGAAATTACTATGCTACTATTTTGGGCTAAATTATTCTTAAGGAAAGTGTCCCTGTAGTGAAAAAACTAAATTGGAGATTGGCATTAAAACATCCTGCAAATCCTGAATCCAAAATAAAAAGGGACAAAAGCTAGTAAGAAAACAAATTAAAAGCAGGATAAAGTCAGAATAGCTCTATATTTCACCTCAGAAGGATGCCCTAACTCAGTTTCTAACATATCTAAATAAAGAGATTTTCATGACTTAATCCATTGAATTAAACAAAACCTGCAGGAGGACCAACATGAATTAATCCTTTGTTCAGGGTTTTCTATAGAATCACAATGGAATTCCATTTCTTTTCACAGATGTCATGACTTATTGCATGTTTAAAAAAAACAAACATTAATTTGCTTGCATGTAGGCTACCACTCCTCAAGCCACAGCTTTGAGTTTGTTAATAAGAGCAAAAACAAACGAAAGATTTTCACATTGCGATGCTACATAGCATGTAAATTAAGGTAAGTAGAGGTACTCAGAACATAACATATGCATCTCTTATCTTTTCCACACATAACAGTTAAAGCAAAATATGTTATGCTTAGATCCATGCATACATCCATTTTCGAATCCCTTATCCAATTCAGGGCCTAGGGGGAACCAGAGTCTATACCAGCGAGCAACGGGCACAAGACAGGCTACACCCTGAGGAGATGCCAGTTCATCACATGGAAAACAGACTGACACCAAAAACAAGTTTCCCAGAAGCGAGTTAACTTACTAATATGTCTTTGTACTGTAGGAGGAAACCTACGCAACCATGGGACAACACACAAACAGCACACAGGCAGCACCCCAGGTCCAGAACTGAACCCAGAGCCTCAGTGCTGCAAGGCAGCAATGTTAACCTTTGAACCACCATGCTGCCAGTTATGCTTAGATAACATGGTCAAACCAGCTATTCATCCTCAAGAGTCTAAGACTATGACCTATCCTGATGGGACTTAATGCCAGCAGGCGGTTGAGTAGAGTGGTATTCTCTAAATAGTGGCAATCTCTGAATAGCAGTCTTTGTCTCAGTGACACTAAATGAAAAATTGCATGTAACAACCTTTTAGAACCCAGAAATCAGCAGCACTTGGCTAAACAGGATACGCTAATAATTATGCACAGTAATGACTAACAGCAAACCCTCACAATTCAGTAGGTCAAAGCTGAAAGTGTTCTCACCAGTTCACCCCCTTCATTAAAGCAGGGTCAATCAGTGGCAGTTCAACAAGCCCATGTCACCACACTTGTTTCAGACTCGAATGAAAATGTTAATAAAGGGATTTCATGGAAACACCTGAGCAGTCAATTCAGATGAGTCTTTATATCAAACTGAGGGTAACACTCCCTTTCAGTTTTGAATAAACAAACAGCTTAGAATACAATAAAATTTACAGTCAGAAAATTAAAAAAATCTACTTTGGTTAGAGAAACTAAAAATCACTTTAATACAATCACAAAGTATAGGTTATGAGGTTAAATAGAGGCTCAACATATCAAAGTTATTTTCTTGCAGTGCCAATTGGTATTAAAAAGATGTGTGCAAAGGTAGTATTGAAAAGATTTACTCACAAGAAAATCATAATATTGATCATCTGATCTCTCAATCTTTCCAAGATATAAACAATTATACAGAGAAATAAATCATTTTGATGGGCATAATTGCACTTGCATGATACATCATGTTCCAGTTAGGGCAAGGAAAGTATTTTTTTAATAATGTTTGGAACTGTGAACAAGTATTTTGACAGATTTTGTCATGTGGTTTCAAATATTCCCTGTGATTTGAGTCAGATAGTCGTATGGCTCACACATCTTGATCTCAGGCAAGCTCTTTAGACTTCTCGCCCTCCAAAAACATTCGGCAACAACTCCCATCCTATTTTCAAATGTACCTCTTTAACTACACCAACATATTTACTTCACACTAATTATTGTATAACCTAAGATAAAATAAAGGCTTTTCCTGTGTTAGCTGACATGTACAGTATATGTCAAAACAGACATTTCCATTTACCTCAAGACAACACACAAAGCACATATATGTGAGCATAATGATCATATACTGTATGCTCATAATAACCAATATTAAATAAGCCAAGTTTTTTTCTTTCTTTTTCAGGTTTGCACTGTTCATGAACTTCACCCATACATTACTGTGAGCACGAGGCCATACAGTGATTACTTCCACATGTTAAATCGCTTCAGGTTTTTCACATGTTTGTAAATTGATGATTTAACTGATGTTTTTAAAAGCCGCTGGACTGGGGGATTCCACGATAAAAGGCCACCACTAATATATGTTGCATTTCTTCTACAGTCAGCTATAGATAGAACATTGAGGAGTCATTATCACCATCTGGGACTTCAGTTTATCTCTTTTCACAGGAAATATCTGGAGAGAAAAAATGTTATGGTGCAGCACAGGAGTTGATGAAATACAGGGTTTGGAAGGGACATGTGAAATGTAATTTTCTGCTTTTTAGGAACACAATCAAATGTCACAACTAAAAAATCACCACAAAAAATGCAGAAATGAGAGTGGTACCTAAAGTAGCACCTTATGCCTAACAGTTAAGCCATCAAAAGATGTATTCTAATTTCTATATATTTTGGAAATATATATATATATCCAGAATTTGCATTCTGTACTCTAATTCATATAAAATGTCTTAGGACTGTACTGCTGCCTGCCATGAAACCTTCTCCCCCATGTAATCAGGATAGATTAAAATCACAAAATGAAGTTTTATCCAGTGTGAGATTAATTTCATGATTCCTTTTTGTGTAAAACAGCTTCATATTACCTGTGCCACATCTCATTAAAATTGTACAGCTAAATAAATTCTTGTATTGATGCACAGAGTCTCTGATGCTGGAAATTAAACCATGTTTGTGTTGATGTGATTTTTATGTGCTATGAGTAACATTCGGTCTGGCTGTGAAGTTGGTGGCTATATTATACTTGCCTCAAACACCGTGGGCTTTGAGAAGCACCATGTGTATTGTCAAAAGCTGCACAATAGGGTGTGGTACTCCACAGTATAACCAGTCATTGCAAGCAGTACTGGAGGTCGACTGCTCAAATTTCAGAATTTGAAACTGCTTTGACTAACACTATGCCAAATTTTAATAATCAGATTTACATGCTGTAGCAGCTGACACAGGAACATCATAAGTACCTATTTTGTTAAAAATGAGGTACATTGTTCAGAAACTGTCCCAAAGGATACGTCACTGTTACGAGCACAGCCGGCATCAATTAATCCTCATTATTCAATCTCCTCTTCCTTCACTATTTAAACCCTCCATTCACTCCTAGTCCTCACTTGGTATTAGGAATCTATCCGCCTCCTGAGCTTGCATCGTACTCTACTTCTGACCACCGATACGAAGACCCATCTAGCCTTGGACTTCTCGACAATCCTTTTGTCCCGCCCCTTTTCGAACTCGTTTGCCTCGCTGAGCTCTCAACCCAGCTTCGACCTCGCTTGGAACTACTGATCACTCTGCTGCCGCGCCCTTCTCGGACTCGAAAGCCATCGGACTCTTTTAGAGATCCGCACGGGCTTCATAATAGCTCGCTCGCAACAGTCACAAACTGTGTTTATAATGGTGAAGCAAAGCCCGATGCCTGTTGTGACATATTTTGCATGGCCATTTATACAAAAGGCCAACAGAAACTTTTTTCTAAGGACACTAAGCTTCTTTAAGGTCGATAGAATTGTTTTAACACTTTTTTGTAAATCTCTCAGAGTTTTCACATATTGTTTTATCTGTTGGTTTAGCAACATCAGCACTAGAAACTGTTAATAGGTTGTTATTAGTGAATAGAAGCAGATAATCATCCATACATTTTCTCACTGTTTCTTCTAATTCAGGGTCTCTGCCACCCAGTAGACAATCAGAATATTAGCAAAGAGTTATGAAGCAGGCCAACAGCACTAAAAACACCGTCCCTGTGTGAACCTACATTACTCTTATTTGGGAAGACGCCTCTGTGCTCCAAGCTGCAAGGAGAATAGATACAGGAAACTTTATTCGCTGCCCAATGTCACTTTTGAATAATGTAAAATAATTATATTTTCTTACAGTTTTTTTTATAGGAGTGTTTGACCTGACCTCCTCGTTAGTGATGGTTGTTATGTTATATTGTTGTGCTGGACTCTGCCATTAAACAAACTTCCCCTTAGGGACCATAATAAAAGTTTTTATTGAACTGAACTGCATTGCATTGTAAGCATGTTCAGCCGACTCTTATCAATGACAGGACTTTCAGTTCTGTATGGAATATCCTTAGACTCAAACCTCTCTTACTTCTCAAAGAGTTTCACCAGCTGTTGCCTTTGTTAGATTGTACCAAACCATCTGATCATCAGAGC